TTTCATGCCTATCCCATTTCTTACGAGTAAGGAAATGAGCGGCATATCGCCGATATCAGGAAAACTTTAAATTCACAGTGAAAAAATATGAGCGAAGATTACATTCAGTACGAAGAAAAAGTGGATTTTGGAGCGCACCTGAATTACGAGACGCCACTGGCGCGCTTTTTGGCGATGGCATCGAATATATGTCGCAAAAATTTAGCGCATTGCGGGCGGCAATTTTCATACTGCGATGAAGTGGCCGTAGGAATCGTTATCAATCCACAGATTATCACGGAATGCAAGTTTCTGAAGGCTTCTGTAGAACTGAATGGCTCAAGCACAAGGTAAATATGAATTACAATTTACGCGTATTTTTATACGTTTTTGCTTATTTATGCAAATGCAGGAATATTGGCAAGAGATTATCTGTGTGCGTATGCGCTCAGATGGTTGCATTTTGGTACCTACATTCAACTTGGTCTTTGCTGTGCAGCACTGTAGCGCTGCTACGGCGAGCAAAAACGCATATTGTGACGAGCCCTGCTGCGCATGTGTGTATGTTCGTGTATTTGTATGTGTGTGCGCGCACTTGCGCGCGTCTGTCTGTATAGTTCAACTCGGCAACCACGCAAGCTCTGAAGCTAAAGTTTTGCCAGCAGGTTCCCCGGCCAAGTGCCACCCCAGACCGTGGTGCTAACCCTCACGCACATCTGGACCCTGCGTACGAACACGTGAAAGTTTTTGGGAGGAAAGCCGCTAACTCGGGAATCAGAAACTTAGGAGGCTGAAATTTTCTGGGAATGTTCCCGGCCAACGTGCAACTTAAAAATTTTAAATTCAACCCCCCGCTTCGCATGTTATTCAAGTACGGCCCTGTGAAAGTTTTTTTGGAGAAAGTGGCCAATTCGGAAACCAAAAAAGCTGAGAGGCCGAAATTTCGAAAGCATTTTTTCCGTTCGCACAGAACTCGAAGATTTCGAAATCAGCTCCGAGGCGTGCATAGTTCCCAAATAGGGTCCCGCGAAAATTTTTGGCAAGAAAATGGCTAACTCGGGAACTAGGAAAGTTGGAAGGCTGAAATTTTAACAAAATGTTCCCTTTCCAAGTAAACGTGGTAGTTGCACGATTAACCTTTTGAGGTTCAAGGACCAGTATGTCATAAATTCTAACAATTGTGATTCCAAGCGATCTTACAACAGAACGAGATAATGCAAAAACGCATGATAGTACGGGCCCGCAAGGTGCTCGCTGCCACTGATAATAGTATCGTTTACATGCATACGCCTGCGTCTCATGTATGAGCACTGACATATTAATTAACATGTTAATTTTTCGGCAGAAAAACGATTTCGGTGAAGTAAGAAGCTGAAATTTCACAAGGATTACACTGACGACTAACCTCCCATCGGCGTTTTCTAGAGACACGTATGAGCGCTGTATCGTATGATTGGTTCATCGTACATCTTAGTAAATGATGATCCGAGCAATGCCCCTTGCTTTGTCCAGTCAGATTGAGAGGTGAAGATCATTTTTTGAGGAAAAAACCCTCTTTTGCTAGTCCAGTGTAATCCGGAAGAACACTCTTACATTTCGAATATCGTATGGTGACGTCTTGCATTTTAGAGGTCAGGTGGTATGCGACTGGACCGATCACCATACAGCGGTGTCTGGAGTGACGCACAGTACAAAGGCGCCCAGTGAAAAACGAGCCTCGAAAATGATAAAGTTCGTTGTATCGTATGATGCGGTTACTCTGAACAAACTGGTATGTGATGCGGTGAAAAAATCCGAACAGACACTTCCCAGTGCGCCTGTTCCCGTTTGATTTGTCGAAATTTCTGGAACTACGGACAGCAGTCAAGCGCTTTTCTAGGGAAGTGACGTTTGCACTCACAAACTTCGTTCTCTGTTAAATTGCTCGTTTCAAAATAAAACTGAGAGAAGAACGTCTCAAATGCACACACGCATATATATATATGCATATATATATATATATATATATATAT